AGACCTTCGGCGTGCGCAAGAGCCTCATCATCCACCACCGCAGCCACACCAAGGAACGGCCCTATGAGTGCGCGGAATGCGAGAAAAGCTTCAACTGCCACTCCGGCCTCATCCGCCACCAGATGACGCACCGTGGTGAACGGCCCTACAAATGCTCCGAGTGCGAGAAGACCTACAGTCGCAAGGAACACCTGCAGAACCACCAGCGGCTGCACACGGGCGAGCGGCCCTTCCCCTGTCCTCTCTGCGGCAAGAGCTTCATCCGCAAGCAGAACCTGCTAAAACACCAGCGCATCCATACGGGCGAGCGGCCCTACACTTGTGGCGAGTGCGGCAAGAGCTTCCGCTACAAGGAATCACTCAAGGACCACCTGCGCGTGCACAATGGCCCTGGCCTGGGGGTCCCACGGCCGCTGCAGGTGCCGCCAGAGCGAGACTAGGGTTGGGCTGGGGGGCGGGGAGGACCGGACTGAAGTTGGGGCGGGCCAGGGTTTCAGAGGACCAACCCACCGTTCCCAGCACACCTCCTCGCCCTCTCACCACTCCTGCTGGAAATCAGCACAGGAATTGCACTCCAGACAGGGTATTCCAAGGGGTGGACTGGGGTACCCCAGTACTGTCTAACCCTCGTGGACAGTCCAGCTCATCTCATAGGGTGGACCCAGTGGCTAGGGGGGGTTCCAGAGGAACAGCAAGGCAGCAGGAATCGTTTGGACAGTGTGTCCTGGTATGCCTACTGGCCGCCGGGGCCACAAATTCTGATCAGGGAGAGTGAACAGGGAGTCTCAAAACCCCTCTAAAATAAGGAAATGTGATCCAACCTAAGGTGAGGAGACACCCTGAAAAAGAAAGCAAAGATGCAATAGGAAACTGAGGGATGTGCTAAGGGTAACATTCTCATGACAACACTGCCTCGTGCTCTAACAGCGCTTTATACTTTTTTAAGAGTGTTTTCTATTCGTTAATCTATTTACACCCTTAGCTTATCCCTTCGAGATAGGTGGGGTAGGATTTTCCTGATATGGTAGCTGAGGAAAGTGAGACACAGGTGAGATAGATGTTTAGCAAGACCAAGTGAGAACAGTGTGGCTGAGCCGCACCAGGGCTCCAGCCAGCGCAGTGTCCCCACCGCACACACTGCCTACCTCTGTCGGTCTCAGACCTCTCTCACCTGGCCTTCCTGGTTTCTTTCTTCTCTCCCTTCCCTCCCCTGGTCCCCCAAATCCTCTCAGAAGCAACGGGGGACAACTCCTGGGGTTACTGGGAATGGGTAATTGATTGGCTGTAAATGTCTAGGCTTGTTCTTGGGAAGGCTCGTCTTTGATGTGAGCCTGGGCCCTAGCATCCTGGTCCCCCAGCCTGTCTTTCCCAATGTTGATCATTCAGTCAGGTGCAGCAGCAGCTTTTCACTGCACAGTTAAGGCCAGGCCCTCCAGAGGCAGCTGGTGCCCTGGGTCAGACCTCACCCTGATGATTTACTCATTTCCCAGGGCACAGGGTGAGGAAAGACCGGCTGCTAGAGTAGCCACCAAGGAATGAGACTCTGCCCAAGAGGGCTGGGCAAGTGGGTGCTAGAGCCTGAGCTCTCTCCTGCCCTGGGCATCCCAGTTGGTGCTATCTGTTAACTGATTGTGCTCATGGACATGGACACAGACCTACTATGCTCTGACCCTGCAGGCGCCTTGGGAAGCGCCCAAAGGACTCCTTTTCATGTTGGTGCATCGCTCCACGGCTCCCAGCACTGCAGCCTGGTGGGCCAGTCTCCATTTCAGCATCTTGCATGGCCAGGCACTGGGGTGGGGTGGCATGCCCCAGGACCCTTGTTTGTGTCAAAGTGGCTTTCCTGCTCCTCTTGTGGATCCTGTTTCTCTCCCGCCAGGGAGTGTGGTGGGTGGCCAGCATTCCACGGCACCGCCTTTGTGAGCTTCTGTCCTTTTGCTCATCTGTGCTGCTCCGCTTTCCTCAGACCCCTTTTTGCCGTGCAAAGGGAATTCTTGAAATTAAATAAAAGGTATCCAGATTGCAGACTGCATGTTCCCAAAGCTGGAGGGTCCTCCAGCATGGCATCCTACAGCAGACCTCAATGAAATACAACCCAATAAGCTGGGATTTCTTCACTCAGCTTTTTGAAGGAGGCTGATCTTAGGAAAACAAGTTATCTTGAGATAAGTACAAGGGGGGTGTTCAGTGGAGTTCCGGTAGAATAGGTGGAGGCCCTTCAGTTCAGGGATTGCTTGGGAGGGGGCAATATACTAGTTTTCAAAAACATACAAAGACAATTCATAATCTAAATCATGGAAAATAAGATCCAAATATTTTTGACTGCTGGAAGTGTGTTTGGGAGGGGTAATAGCTACTGAGACATCCGTTTAAAACATTTAACACATAGCTTGAGTTTAGTTCATTTTACCCCCAAGAAGCTGATTCCCAAAGAGGTATGTTGATGGAGCTATTGACAGCCAAGGCTCTGGAACCCAGTTTGGTGGGTCCTACTACCCTCCACTACACTCTGAATGGCCCCTTCCTGATGTGGGTGCTAGAAACCAAATCCAGGTCTTGTGCAAGAATAGCAAGAACCTATCTCTCCAGCCCCATGTGTGTGTGTGTGTGTGTGTGTGTGTGTGTGTGTGTGTGTGTGTCTCAAATAGTGAAAGGGAGGGGAGAACCCAGGAAGATTAAAACATCCAGCTCTCATAGCTGCTTCTAGACCCTTCTGAACTGTGTTCATTGTCCAGACAGCTGACTCCTGGATCTCAGCATTACTCTGCACTGCCACCACACACTCCTAGGTACAGAGCCTTGCAAAGACCACTACTCAAGAGTACAGAGAGACAAGGAGGGAATCTGGGGAGCCATAAAAGTAGTATTCACTCCAACAGACCAAAGATGGATTCCACCCAGTGCAGCTTGGTGAGTGGGTTTACAAAGGTTAATTATAGAAGCATGGACAACTTGGGCAGCACTACTAAAGAGTTCCACCCCGCACCAGCTTTCTACCTCATACACATCAGCATGTCTAAGATTATAGACAACTGGGGGTGGAGGCTGACTGCATCCTGTGGTGAGGTCAGCTGTGGCCCTTCCCCCTCCTTCCACAAGGGACTTTAACAGCCTCACTGCCATTACCATAGACCCAGTGGCTGCATTGTTTATTTTATTGTGACTGTAGGCTACCACCATAGCAGTTCTGCTTCATGGTGGTGATGGTCATGTCTACCCTCCAGAGAACTGCTATGTGACACTAGTCAGGGCCCGAGTCCCTTAACCCATTTGGGTTGTTTGTTGTTTTTGGAGACAGATTCTCTTTGTGTAGCCTTTTGCTATCCTGGAACTTGCTCTGTAGACCAGGCTGGTCTGTCTGCCTCTGCCTCCCGAGTGCTAGGATTAAAGGCATGTACCCTGTGGAACTCATTTTTTTTTTTAAGACAGTGTCTTACTATGCAGCCCTGCCTGGCCTAGAACTTGTTATGTAGACCAGGCTGACCTGGAACTCACAGAGATCTGCATGCCTCTGTTTCTTGAGTACTAGAATTAAAGGTGTGTGCCACTAAGCTTGACCTGGTCCCTTAACATTTTGTGATTTGTGTCATTCTATAGAGAAAGTGTTTAGAGGGTAAGAGTGAAGATAGATGGACCTTGATCATTATTCAACATGTAGTGAAAAAGTGTAAGACCCAATTCTCGGCAAGCTTGAAATGTAATAGGAGAGAGAAGACATTTGTGAGAATGAAACCATGTGTCTGCATGAGGATAGATGTGGGAAACACATGTTTGATCTCCCTTAGGGCTTGCCACAGTGGCACAATACAGAAGGCTGGAGAACACTGGTCTAGAGAAGCCATACACAACCAGTGAGCACCAACACCCGCAGTGCCTACCTGTGGGTTTCTGGATCATATTCCAGTGGGTTTCACTCTACTGGTGCCTTCAGCTACACTATGAGACAGGCCCTGGGATAGTAAGCTCTACTCTCAGAACTGTTCAAAGGCAGTGGCTTTCAGTATGTTGTCCTTTGCATATCAGTCACTGAGTTACCCATTTTGATGTTTTAGCCATGTCAGTCTTGATAGGTACTGTGTAGGGGGATGATTTACATGTGACTGGAGTTAGGAGGCTGACCCACATGAAGAAGAAATGGGCAGTCCATGGTAGTAGTGCTTGTTGACAACAGGCCTATGTAAGAAGTGCTGAGCTCATGTTGCATGAAGCAGCAGGTGTAACTTCCTGGAGAAGTCAGGCTTGAAGCATGAGGAGCACGGGGCAAATGGAAAGAAAGGTAGGAAGACAAGGATTGTAAGGCAAGGAGAGCAGTGTGGCCAGAGCAGAGAGGTATGAACTCCTAGGATGTATAGTTAGATGATGAGGCATAGTACAGGCCATGAAAGACCTTGAATCCTCACTGTCCCATAGACAACCATCAACAAGCCTGGGATCCACTGTGGTGTAGCCCTGTAGAGCTTGTTAGAAAGCAGAGCAGGCATAACTGTCAAGGGAAGGCAGGAAGGATTTGATGGAAGTCCTGGGAAGGCAAGATAAGCCAGAGACCACTGAAAATGACAAAAATACAGGTAAATGTTCTTTTTAAAATGTCAATGGATTTTTCCATTTCTGAACAAACACATTTGTGTGTAGATGCTTTCGTGTACATGAGCAGAGGTTGTTGGGTCCTGTTCTTTCATTCTCTGTCCATTCCCTTGAGAGAGGTTTTCCCACTGGACCTGGAGCTAAGCTGGCAGCCGGCAAGTGCTAGTGTTCCTTCTGTCTCTGTGCCCTACTCCAGCCCCACAGCACACTGGGGCTGCAGGTATACTTGGATTTTTATGTGGTGCTGAGGATTTGAATTCAGATCTTGTGCCTGCACAGCAAGTGCCCTTCCACGCCTCTCCCCCACCCCTTTTCTTTTTTGTAGGGTTGATGGTGCCAAATTTTGAACCCAGGGCTTCCTAGATGTTAGGCAAGCACTCTCCCACTGTATTGCCTCTATGCCTTTTTTCCTTCCTATCTTCTTTCTTTCTTTTTTTTTTCTTTCTGAGATGGTCTCATGTAGTTCAGAGTGGCCTTCCTATGTAGCCAAGGATAACCTATAATTTCTGATCCTCCTGCCTCTACCTTCTGAAAACTGAATTATAGACATGTACACCACACATTGCAGAGTCTGAGCCTACAGCTTTATGTGTGCCAGGCAAATACATCAACTGAGCTGTATCACTAACTCCAAACAACACTATTGTATGATCAAGGATTCTCGTGTCTTTTTGAGATCTGGTCCCTGGGTATTGGACATTGGTGGGGAGTAAGAGGAAAATGACGGGAAAAGAATCACAGCAGCACTGACTAATCAACGCAGACCTGTAATTTTACAGTAAATGCTCATTCAGCCTTTAGTGTTATAAAGAACTGCAGGGGGCAAACTGTGGGCCCAGGGCTGATCTCCCCTCTGGCTTTGCCCATAAGACACTTATGCTTGATGAGTCAGGAGACAGTGCCTCCTTTCACCACAGCATCATAGCAAATGACCTGAAATTTTCCTAACCCATCAGCCATCTCTGTTCTTTTGTTGTTTATTTGTAACAGGGTTTCATTGTATAGCCCTGGCTGTCCTGGAACTCACCATGTAGACCAGGTTAGCTCAAACTCACAGAGATCCACTTGTCGCCACCTCCCAGGCACTGATATTAAAGGTGTGTGACTACACCTGACTTCTGTCATTATTCTTAAAAGACTTGGAACCATTCTCATCACCAGAAATATATGTCACAACCCACCATCCTGATCTTTCTCCATCCTATATTTCCCCAATCTCACTAAGGAGAAGCTTTCTTCTATTCTGAGGCCTCCTCTGCCCTTCTCTCCAGGATGTATTTAGAAAACCCTCTAATCTTAATTTAATTTTTGTTTTGTTTTTTGAGACAGGGTTTCTCTGTGTAGTTTTGGAGGCTGTCCTGGAACTAGCTCTGTAGAGCAGGCTGGCCTCAAACTCACAGAGATCTGCCTGCCTCTGCCTCCTGAGTGCCGGGATTAAAGGTGCCTGTCACAAATCTTAATTTTTTATGGTACAATGTTGTTCCATCTTTGCTCTCCTTCTGTCTTCCAAGCCATTTCCTGTGGCTTCTTCTCTCACAATTCAAATGGCCAATAAAAAGCCAATGAAACAAAATATTAGTTGCTCTTTAAGAGGAATTTTGTATCATTTTTTCCAAACCATCAACCAATGAATGGTATTTTGAAGATTTTGTATTCATTACTCAAAATAAAAAATGAACAAATGGGATATGCAGGGAAGAAATCTAGCACGGCATGGTGGTACCAGTTACTCTGGAAGTAAAAGTAAAACAAAATCTTGTTATACACATATCTGATTCCAAGACATGAGTTCTAGAAAATACTCCCTATAATGTTTATTCTGTAGAAATGCTACCTTGCTCTTTGTGTCACATTCTTCCTTTTGCCAAGTGTCTGAGAAATTATTGTGATGGGTACATAGGAAACGTCTTTCTTTTTGTGGTTGTTCTTTTTAAAATCAAGATCCAACCATGTAGCTCCAGTTGGCCTGGAACTCACTATATAGACCAGGCTGGCCTTGAACTCAGAAACCTGAGTCCCTCTGCCTCCCAGTGTTAAAGGCAGGCAGCTACCATGCCCAGCTGAGCAGTTGCATGTTTTACATGGAATAGGTGGAACTGATTTTTTTCTTTTTCCAGCTCTCTATTGATTAAATGTGGTTTTTATTGGGGGTGGGTTTTTTGTTTGTTTCCAGACACAAGGTCTTGCTGCAAACTCACTATGTAACTGAGGATGGCCTGCTTCTACCTAGCAAGTGCTGGGATCATATATGAGTATCATCCGGCCTTTTTTCAAAAAAATTATTATTGTTTTTGGGGTGTTCCATTGTACACTGTGGAGGTCAGGGGATAACTTTGTGGAGTCAGTTCTCTTCTTCCACCTTTACCTGGGTTCCAAGGAAGGAACTCATGTCACCAAGCGTTTCTGGTAAGTGCCTTTACCCACTGAGCTGTCTGTCTCAC